TGTGGGTGGTACGTATGTGTATACGTGTATGCATGTATGGTGCGCATGTTGCGAGCAACGACGCGGCGGTGACTTGCAGCTACGCCCGCCGCCTATCATATTAACGTGTAATTGAAAGATATCCGGTCGGAAAGCGGCGCCGTGATTTTTTGTGGTGTCACTACGGACGGTTGCGCTCTGCGGCGAACGATCGCGGGGTGACTTGCACCCCACTCGAGGCGTGACCACTCGAGCGGAATCATGTCGTCTCATGTCTGTGAGATTCGAATGGGCGGCACCCGTTATTTAGTCCTCTGTCCACCACCTGAGGGCATATCCTAGAGAGCAGGGTTAAAACTTTGAGAACAGTTGTCATCTGCAGTGCTGGACACGCAATGCTTCGGATAAACTTGATAAACAAGCATATGTGAAGTTCTCTTCCGGGCTGCGTTCGAAAACACTACCCGAGTGCCTTCGAACATCATTTTATCCTTGTTGTTGTTAAATGTTAAACAAGGATAATAAAATTATACTCGGAGGCACTCGGATAATTTTTTTTGGGACTCATCTCTGAGGGTCGATTATATTATACGTATATCTTGAAACGACGTGAAAATTGCAAAAGTGAGCAAACTCACTAAGTGTTGATCAATAAAATCATAAATATATATTTTAGTAAATTCGTTCATTTTATAATTTTCACCTCAATTCAAGATAGTAATGAATCCTCTGGTTAAAAAAGGATTATTTTGTTATCATTGTATCGTTATCGTTATTACTGTTGCTCAAGAAAAAGCTAGGAACGTGTAGAATATTTATATATCTATTAAATATTTTAATATTCTTAGATCTAGAATGGTGATTTATATTTATCATGTCAATCTTTCAACGTCGAAATAATTATTATTCACATAGTTGCTGCAAGCCAAAAAGAACAAGACTAACCGCATCGATGTATCATAAAGCCACATGTGTAAAAGACCGTGACATCGTAAACAAAGACGCTCTTTTTCCGACGATTTCGCTTCGGAGGGTAGGCTGCTTGGCTTCTCGACGTTTAAGTTGGCTTTGGCTCATGACGGGGCCGCCGTCATACGAAAACATTCCTCGTCGATTTACTTTCGGGAATCCACGCATAAACGTTGACGTATTTAAGGGAGGCTGTAAACCATCTATTTCGGTGTCTCGAATGCCGCGAATGGTCGCAGCGTCCCGGATTATAGCTCAATGTGTGAAACGGCGCTAACATTGTGGAATTTTCACTCACTTCCCGGGTGACCTTCCATTACCGGAAGCGTCGCGACATATTTACGAGGTGTTCCATTATTAGAATGTTAAACACAAATTTTCCAAGAGATCGAATTCTTCGTGTGAATAACATACATTTATGAAGTCTTAACATAATTTAATCTCACCTCAACGTCCTCTTTCTTTATCAATATTTTTCTTCATATTTTTCTCAATATTTACTTCGATGATTGATAAGCTGCTTATTTTATTAAAAATAAAAAATAAAAAAAATAAATTACCACTGATGTACAAAACTAATGACAATTAATCAGTAATATCAGTTGATGTATAAGTTTCAAATTGCTATATCAGGCTGCGAAAAATTCGTCACACTTAGACGCGATAAGGCTCGAGGCTAGCCGACGAGACCTTCGTTTTATATGCCGGTGATGTTCGTCCTCGTCTTACAACGGCTGCCGGTTATATCAGAATTGCTATCGCTACCAGGAGGAGGCCTCGTCGCCGGGTAGATTTGCTGGTTGAACGGCGGTACGACAAGGAGTTATGATATCGGCGCCGATCGCCGTGCCAAGTGAAAACACGGTGGCGTGAGTAATATACAACCATAGGGCGATCTTTTATAGTGCAGGAGACCCCGAAGGGAATGATCCGCGGCTACGTCTCGCATAGATAGGATCATTCTAACCTCGACGAGAACGAGAGGAGAGGGTCAAGGAGGAGCGAACCCGAAGAATAGTCAGCGGAATCTAGTCGTAAATAAAAGCAACGTCTGCTACCAATGCCAATCCCGCCTGGACTTCGTCATTGTGCTGCGTTGTTGCATCTCCTAACGAAAAGTTTAATAATTCTGATCTACCGGAACAATTGATATACGAAATTACAAAATTCTCTATTAATTATTTGGAAATAATAAACTTACGAATGCCGTTTATTGCTAAAGAACGTTTCTTTTTGTCTTTCTGAGGAAAAAAGAAACAGGAACGCTCCAAACTTCAATCACAACAAAAATAGGATCTGAGGAGTCAGTTGAATATGAAACTCATTGAAGAAATGATGCTCTACTAAATATGATTTTAATGTATTAAGCCTGATCTACGATGTGTTCTTTACTTTCTGTTTCTTGCCTGTTATCATTTTTTACCTCTTGCCTTTTTGCTCTTATTCTGTTTCTTCATTTTCTATCAGAGAGAGAGAGAGAGAGAGAGAGAGAGAGAGAGAGAGAGAGAGAGAGAGAGAGAGAGAGAGAGATTTAAAGACTAATATTTTTTTTTTAAGAATAAAACATCCTGTGTTTCTTCTTAAATATGTTTTTAATGCTTCAAATATGCTTTAAACAGTACTATAAAAAAACATATTTAAAACATATTAAAAACATCAATTCAGCATGTTTTAAACTGTTTAAAACACGTTTAAAACATGTTTTTTACCAACCCTGTTTTCTATTGTCCGAGATAAAAAAGTTGACTAACTCGAAAGAAACAGAAACACGTGATAAGAAACACGGTTGTCGATAAAACGATCACAAAGAGGAAAAAAGGCAAAAGATAAGAAGCAAGAAATAGGAAGCAAACAGCATATTATAGATCAGACTTTAGATGCCATAGATTTCCAGGATTAAAAATATAATTTGGTGCGGCAGATCGCATAAAATTATCTCAAGGCAAGATTTGATCGTCTAGACTTCTAGACTGACTCACAGCAACTCGATCTCTGAGAAAATGCACACGACTAGTCTCTGATCACCTCGACAAGGAGGCGGGACACTGAGCCGCACATCGGACTCTAACTCGACCGGCATCATTCAACGCTCATTATTCGTATTCCGTTAGACGCGAGCAACGTCCGCGGAAGAGCACGCGGAACGTCCGCAGGAGCAAATGACAGGAGGATCGGCGGGTGAGCGGTCAAGAAAGTGGCACGGCACGGCACTGCACGACCAGCTGCTGTAACCGAGGCTAAACTACGTCCGCGTGTCTTCCACCAGCGCGAAGGTAATCAGGGCCACGGGGTCTGCCATTACCTGCGGGCATTATCGGCGATGGTAGTAGCACAATATGGTAGTCGATGCTCCAGTATCGCGGTAGTGTGATATGGCAGCCGGATTTGAGTCTCTCCCTTGTTCACAACTCAAAGAAAAGAGTCCACTCTCTCGTCGAAGGATACTGGACGCAATGCGTACACAGTGCCGATTAGACCGGCAGGACGCCTGCGATTTGAATGATCAGATAGAGGGTCGACGATTCGGTAATCTCATCGGTGGTCAAATAACAGCCTCCGGGTCTTCGTGACCGGTAGGCACGCATATCCCGGCGCGGCGGGTCGATAGTTCGTCCGCTTAGCCAAAGAAGAAGCGCCGAGAGTCCATGCGAGATGCATGCCGGTGTACACGTAAGTACACGTGTCTGATTGAACGACCTAGCCGTTCTCCAACCTTATCCTCCTTCTCCTCCTCCTCCCTCCTTCCTCCTGCTGTTGCCTCTCGACAGGTGCGTTGGCCGGGGATTAATGCCCGATCGTCTCGAGGATCAAAAAAGCTCTTAAGGCGAACTAACCGCGCGCCGTATACGGTAATTTCGTGAATACGGCCCCGCTCGATTCCCTATCCGCTTTTAATCGTAAGTGCGAGAAGGCGAACGTGTTTATGGGAGTGGAGAATAATTTCAAGAGGCGGAGGGCATGCACGTAAAGAAGTCGTACCGGAGCAATGGAATTTATGCGAATCCGATTAAGTCAGAATTTAAACAATATTGAATTGTAAAATAATTTCACCATTAATACAATATATTATAAAAACGAAAAGAATTATTAAATCACTTATCTCATTGCTTTGATATTTTTGTCAATTTCTGTAACATTACGAAAATTAATTATTAATACATTTATTAAATTATATATATAAAAATATTCTACATATTATAATATAATCTTAAATTTTTATATCATTATTTATTATTTATTATTTATTAATATGTTCGTAAAAAATACAACGGTCTAAGTCACATATTTTTTGTTTTGTTGTATTTTTTAATAATTTGGAATTATCCCTATGATTTATAATTTTGAATCATAATCCTCGTGAATTTGATTTATAATTGAAGATATTTTTGCAAATATGTGAATTTTTTTCAAAAACATATTTTCAGTTCTATATATTGTTCCTCATTTACATATATACCAACAATAAATTTTACATTATGTTCTTTTAAAAAGATCATCAAAGAGAATATAAAAAAGATAATAAAAGATAGTAGTATAAACTATTGAAAAAAATATGATTTATGTTCACACTTGTATTTGTTGCGCTTAAACACCGAAAGCAAACGGAAATGGGGTGCGCAATCTACGACTGAAACTCGCGGAACCCTGGCTCGTTACGTCGCGGCAACGAGCCCGTCCTAATTAATCGAGAGAACTGAATTATGCAAAGGTGCACGCGCACCGGAACTTAAGTTCCGTCGCGAACTACTTATAATGTGCACGGAACGGCGCGTTGTCGTCGCTTCGCGCCGCCTCGTTCATCTTCTCGTCGATGTCGAGCCGCGAAAAGGCCTCCGTCCATTGCCGCAGCCCCAGTACATCCGCGGCGTCGCCACGCAGGCAATCAGACACCACCCGCTGATCCCGAGAGGACACGCGGAATCCGTTCGTCTGTCCCATTCTCTTTCTTGCGCCGCCATCGCCGCCACTTCCTGAAATCTCCATTACCGCATCACCGACGTGAGAATCACGAGGCTCCCCGACGGCGTTTGCATACGCGTCATTAGCGTTTCTCAGGTGCGGGACATTTTTCGCTTCCACGACTTATAGATGAGATTTCTGGAACGTGGCACGTGCCATTTTTCTAGATTTTCCCTGCTGTAAGGATAAGGATCACCGGGTAATCGTACATAATCGCCATCGGTGATGCCTTTCTTGCTCAGATCGTCGTCTGCGTCCTTCACGTTTGAGTCAAAGGTAGAATTATTGTTGTTCGAATCTTCCTTGGTCGATTTGATCGCGTCCGATTTGATCGCGTCCGATTCGTTATTAGTTGATTGATTTATGAAATTGACACATGTAGAGCCTTTGTCGTGTGAGTCCACGTAATTAACATGTAATTTTTCGTAACGTTCCGTTTCCTCCTGTGCGTCTTCGTCTTTATAACGAGAGTTATCCTTTTGCGTAAATTCAGAAGAATTTGAACAATGAGTAACCTTTTTATGATCAATAGTTTGCTGGTTCATAGAAATTTCCATTTCCTTGTCCGCGATCTTGTTTAGCGTCTCTGCGAGATCAGCGTCCGCTTGCTCTTCATCGTTACTTGAAAGTCTTTGAGATTCTACAGTTAAATAAGGTTGGTTGCTATTTGGCGTATTATTCGAATCAGAATCGTTACATTCTCTCTCATTTTGATTCTTCGATTCTATCTGTTGTTCATTCTTCGATGCTTCATCGATTACCTTCTTTGGCACGGAATCTTCAGGATTTGTAGAAAAGGCTGACGCGAGTCCTGGATATTTTGTTTGCGTAGTTTTATTGACAGGAACAAAGTTGTTTAAAAATAATCCAATATGTCGCTGGGTGATATTATTTATATGTATATAACGAATCTGCGTGCTCATAGTGTGCAGTTTCTTACCGGTAAAGTAACCGTTCGGTCTCTGTGGTGATCCAATTTGTTTAATCTTTACAGATTTCGGAGATGTGTATCCAGAGTCCTGCTGCTCTTTGTCTTTTAAGTCGTCCTCGATGGATCTTACAATTCGCACGTCCAACTTCGGCTGTGGCGCTTCCGGACGGATAGATACCAGGTTCTCCAGGTTCTCCTCGTCGGACGATAAATAATTCTCTTTGACTTCCGGGGCTGATCTCGCCACGAGATTCCGCCAGGCTTTGATCTCGGTGTCCAGATCCGCTCCTTCTGGAACGTTGTACTCTTCATCTACGACTATCGTCTCCTTCAATATGTTCGGCGATGTCCTCATGATTTTTCGGAGCTCTTTAGAATTCATGTACGAGCTCGTATCATTGCTATCTTGTTGCACTGCAATAATATTGTCGCTCGAGTCGGTCTGACGCGACGAAGTCGAGAGATAGTCCGCTGTTGTACCCTTCAGGCTCGACGCGTACGATTTCTCCGTTGAATCATTCGACGTTGGGACAACATCGGTCTTTGCTCCATCGGCTGTGGTATCGCCACTCTCGAAGTTCGAAGAGGCGTTTCGAGGATTCTGCGCGCCTCGCTCAGAACTCGTGGTCGCCGGCGAAGCGATATCCGGGTTCGGTTGTTTCAAGTTCACTCCCCAAAGCCGCTTCGTGACGTATTGCTGGCCCTTTTCGGCGAACTTATCGTTATCGCTCGCCGCCTCGGCGGCCAGTTGTTCCTCGGCGAGTTTCACGCCCCACTCGTAACGAAACGTTGCGTCGGGGTCATTCCTCGGGTTATCGTCCGCCACCATCTTCGCTTGATTCTCGCTACTATCGACGGATTCGCCGTCCATACGTATTACCGGCTTCTTCTTTTCCTTCTTGTCCTTCTTCTCGTCCTTTTTCTCGCGCTTTTCGGGCGCGTTAGGCTCTTTGATGGGTGGCTTTGTGTTCCTAGGAGCGAAACCCACGAGTGCGCGCGTTGGCATGCCGATGTATCTATTCGGGACGCACAATCCCATCAGCGGCTGTTTTGTCCGCTGCGGTGGCAGGCGATAACAGTGTCTCGGGCTCGTGTAACAACGATAATGCGAGGCCACATCGAGATCGTCTCTTGCCGCAAATTCGATCGCGCCGCAGTTTCTCTCAGATCGATACATCTTGCCAGGATCGCGCCATGAGGAGTCAGGTTCTATCCCGCGTTCGAAAGTTTTTCCAGCCGCAAAACGATTCGACTGCGACGTAGTGTAGATTGCCGACTGTTGAATCGTGTACGCACGTCCGCCGTTCTCCGCGTCACGCTTCTCAGCACGGATGTTCCCATACTCGAACTTCGTCGTCGATCGCGCCGTGCAAAAGTTAGCCAGTTTTTGATTAACGACGTCGACCTTGTCTGAAGAGTTCACCAGCCGCATTTCTGATCGATTGAATGTTGTTGCCGTTGCTGCACGATCGACGATCGTGATGTCAGCTTTGCGGCTTTTATCCTCTGCAACATGATATTTCATCCATTTACATCATCTGATATTACGTGATAAAATTTAGAGTCTTTGTATTATAACGAAAACAAAATATGCTGCACATCTTCTAATAACTTACTTTAATTATAATTTAATTTTACGTGTACAATATTATATCATTTTCTACTGAAAATATAAAATACACATTTATTAAATCAAAATATAAATAATAGCAAAATAAATAATTCAATTATCCTAAGATGAATAACAAATTTTTTTGTAAATTACATTATTTTTGTGTAGTTATTGTTTTAATAAATTAATATATATATATATAATTATTCAGAAGTACGCGTGTAATATCATGAATTGTACGATTTAATTTTTGCATATTATATATTATATAACATACATTATATAATAGTGAATGGCAAAAATAACCTCTGTCTCAAAAATGACATCAGCATTGATGTCATTTTTGAGACAGAGCCTCAAGGCTCACCTGCGGATTTATTAAAGATGTCTTTCAACCAAATGAAGAATCCATCTCGTCCGCCAACAGTCTTCTCGTTAATTTGCAAGGCGGATGCTGCGTAAACAGAAACTTTGTATTATAAATGTCATTTCTAATTTGAAGGATCAAATGCATGGTATTTTACAACACATGCATTTATAATAGTGACGCGTGATTGCACTGACATTTAGGGTGACTGACCGACAAATAAATTCCTTCGGGATTTAAAATTAAATAACCCTCGTGCGACAGTTATGTCGCACTGTTGCCGCAGCATCGCACCCCTCGAATACGAAGAATATATACACATAGTTCGATATAAATTATACTAGTTGAATTTTGATGGGAAATTTTCCTGGATCTGTTTGATCCACGATTACTAAAGGATCTTATTGACAAGCTTGCCAGATTGTCTTCCACTGAGAGCGAGCTGGACCGAGCCCGCCTCTCCTGCCTGTATTTTCGTCTGATTTATCGTATTTTGTTTATCATTGAATAGAAATGCGAGTGGAGGCAATATTGTGTTGATTTATCATTGCTAATGCAAAGATAAAATTTTATTTGCCATAAAGCTAATTGCAAAAATCATTATTCTATTTTTTTTCAAAGAAAGAAATTTTTCTCTGAAGAAATTAAAGTATTATAATTTAAAATGAAATAATTACTATTATACTTAAATTTATGCCTAATAAATTACAAATTCAGTAATTAATAGTTTATTAATGAAACTATTAATTAATTAAATAGATTGTAAATTAATTAATTAAATATTATTAATTAATTAATTAAAACTTATATCTATATATTATTTTTTCTTTATACATTTTTTATTTTTTATTTTTTATTCAATGTTATATCACAATTTATTTGTAAAGAACATGAATTATCACTCGGTTTATAGTAAAAAATATTGACTTGTGTTAAGTCTTAATTATTCTTAATAACTCTATAGAGGCAAGTTGACTCAACAAAAGCACGAACTAGACCTCGGTTAATCATTGGCAAAACTTTTCTTCCCATGAGACACGAGACCCTCCAGCGCCGTTAATGGCATAATGGATCAAAGATGAGCAGAAAGATCGTACACGCGTATTCAGTGTCACGCAGCCATGAAGAAAGCGTCATCTATTTTTACGTTTATTTATTATTAGCTATTAAATTTAATGCATCTCTCTTTTAATTTAACTCGTCAAAAAATGTAGAGTTATTAATATAAAAATTAGATGACTAATACTTTTCGCGTACAAGTAGTTTCGATCGAAAATAGGATAAAGGACTGTGCAAGAATGTTATGGGTAAAGGATCGAGGTTGGCTCACATTGTCGCGTGAGAATAGCCATGGCCATTCGGGCCACGTACCTTGATAACCGTTAATAAAAGCTTAAAGGACATTATCGTAAGCATTCCTCGGGACATTAAAAAGCGCACGTGCCCTTAACGGTAGGCCGTAGATGCAATTTTAAACAGCCATTTCCGACCCTCACTACCAATCGTCCTGGCTGACACATGTCCCCGATGCTGTTACATGAAACCAAGGGTTCCGCCGGACTGAATACCAATCGTCCTCCACAATGCAAGCAGAGTAAGGGTAATAAAAATGAAGGGTAAACGTTTGGTTTCTCGTATAATATCTGTTATTAATGCAACTGTTACATTTTGATTATGACTTGATTGTGATCAATAACCAGTTAATAGTGAAGAAGTATCAAGCGGTTAAAAAAAAGATTCGAAAGGTTTTTGACTTTTCAATAATTTTGTTCTTTATATTAATGAAATATTTAGAATTTTTCATCACTTTCTTTACTTTCGTAGTAATTTCATAGTAATTTCTTCGCGATTCTTTTAATGAGTAAAAGCATTGGTACTAATATTAATTGTAAAAATTACTTCGAATTTATTTAATTTATTAACACATATTTTAGATAAAATTCTTTTTATTGCTTTAAGTACTTCTCTTGTGTCCTAAAATACCAATATTTATTTTTCTACGAGTGAACGAAATTAAGGCACGTTATAGCCGAAAAGGGGATGTGATCTAGGCGCGGCGGCACATCAGCCATAAATTCGTGGGTCCCCAGCGCCAAATAGCAAGTGTCGCACCGCAATGCCAATTGTATAAATTGGCTATGACAAACTTATCGTTTTATACGTGCGCGACTGGAAAGATTTCGTCCGGTCGGAAGTATCGGCGATAGGACAGCACTTTTTCCGGTGTAGGAATTCAGTACAGGTACGTTTTGGGTCCCGCATGGTCGTTTGAGACATCGTTCCCTGGGGGGACTCGTACGAGAACGTGATGTTCCATCTTCAGCCACTCACGTACACGGGGCACGCCATTGGGTTTTGTCGTGCGATTCGTCGCGTACGACGTCTTGCCCGCCGTCGCTCGTAAATCCCGACTCTGCCGGAGACGAATGCTATTAGGAATTGCCGGAGAACGGTCTGGACGATGAGATAGGATGATATATATTTTTTGTACATCCCCACAGAAGCTTCACTTATACGCTTCTAGGACGATTTAATACTTTAGTATAAATTATTATATTACAATTATACTAGTTGAAAAAGTTTTTACTTTTTTATATTAAATTAATTTGATTGAGGATATTTCTTATAACTAGGAAAATAAGATTTTTTAGTAACATCCATTTAAAAATTTCTCTCTCTCTCTCTATACTTATTTTTTCTGCTTAGACATAAATAATTCATAGGGAATATTCAACATAATTTTCAATTCATTATTAAAGACTTCAAACAAAAATAAATTATTTTAAATAAGGATAAGATCCCAACGAACTATCGTCAGCTAAATGTAATTTAAAATATAGTTTAAAAAATGTATAAATTTTTTTAAAAGAGATATGTCAATTATAAAACAGTCTGTAAATTAAATTGTAATCTCATTTTTAGAATCAGCATTTAAAATAATAGATAAGAATCAACTAAAATTACCATTTAATAAAATCTTTGTCAATCATTGTTATTGTATAGATTACATAATTCTGAACAAGATATTCTTATATGATGATAGAGAGAAAATTGTGATGGCAGTATTATTGATTTATTTATTTAAGTTGCTAATTTTTAATAATGTGCCATTATATTTTTTTTAGATCTGTAATAAATGTATAATGTAAGCAATAACAGAGGAACGATTAGAATTGATGAACAATTATATTAAATTCATTTTAATGCATATTTAATTACGCTTCCAATTTAGTGGCTGACATCGTAACGCTTGCGGATTTATTTCTACCCTAAGATGCGTTCGCAGAATCATTTTCGGCGTTCGGCGACCAGAATCACGGCGATTAATTTCAGGTCTGTCGTCGACAATCGTTTACGTTCGAAAACGATTTACACCGAGCGTTTACCCGCGCTAAGAGCTTAAAGCGCGTCGAGCAGGCAGGGTGAGTTTACATTCAGGGGGCGACGCGTGGGGTTGAAACCGCTCGTTTATCAGTAACCGACTCTAGTGAAAGCGACACCGAGGCACTACGCCGCACGAATAACAATCCCCCTACCTCGTGCCGAGGCGATGTGAAAAGTATTGCCGGCGCGACGTCACCCCGCGCGAACATCGCCGACGGACGTTATTTATCCGACCTGCGCGGCGCTCTCTTTTTTTTATTTCCAATTCACTTAGCCGCCAACGAGGAATTTCCTGAACTTGAAAAAAACCACGGGTCCGCATGTCGAAGGAACCGCTCCACAGAATCACAAACGCGTCTCCGCCCCTGGAGAAACGTCAATTTTGATTTCCGTCGATTTTCCAGTAGCACGATTGCGTTTGAATATTTCAAGAAGGTACCCTTAGTAGTAACGGATATCCAAAAGATCATATTATGTATAATAACCTAAAATATAATATTATTCGACGTCAAACGTAACATTTAAAATCGATGCCGATTATTATTCAATCGATCTGAATCATATTATGCTCAAATTAATTATTGTGCATTGTTGGGCTTAGAGTTAATTTCGTGTGACCGATAACCGGTGTCCGCCGGCGTATCATTCACCCTGTCGACGAGTAAAATTGAGTTCGACGACTAGCTGCGCGAATCTCATCTGGCGGGCATCGAATTCAAACCGAAACGGGGCATCTTCTTGTCGACCTATTTTGCAAGTGTCGTCGGTGCGCTGGGCTAATTTGTCAGTTGTCGAGTTAGCGTCCTCCCCCGAGGATTTCCCTACCGGAGCCGAGCCCCGACCCCGTCGGGACCGTAATCAACCGGTGAATATCTAAACTGCAGCCTCCGAACTCTCCTCCCTTCCCTCCTTACTCCGCTCATTTATAAAGAAGTGGCTACCTCGAGACAGGAAGCGCGATTGATTCGTCCCCCACCCCAATCTCACCCCGAATCTTCTCAATGCTTGTAACCGTTTTTATTTAGGCACTAGCAAAAGCTTGTCGGCTCAGGTGTTGAAACTCTAACTCCGCAAAAGGTTGTAAATGTTCGTAATTTCAATAAGAGAAAAAGATTTTAATTGAATTTTAATTGAATAGTTGAACATAAAATAAAAGTAGTAATCATGTTTATGAAAGTTTATTATTGTTTCTCGAAATAAAAGTAATCTATGACCGAAAGAGAAAATGCTGAAAAACATTATCATTGAAGTCACTTAGCAGAAAACCTTCTTCCCTTTTATTTCAAATATACGCTTCTTTTATTTCAAACACAGAAATCAGTATGAAATAGCGCGGTTAAGAGGAGCAGGCCTAAAGTTAAACTTCTCAGTAAACGGAAAGAGCGCACACAGGGACAATGCTCTCCATCCTTTTTCGTGAAGGCTGAAAAAGCGGAAGCAGAAAAGATATCTCTCGAAAAGTGGCAGTGCCTGTGCACATGGCAGGTGGATTTTCTCTGTTGTCACAAGAGCGGCTCAGTGCGAGCGTGCCACTTTCCTCGTAGCGGATTTCAGAGGCTTTGTAGTTCATCCATTTCCAGACTTGAACCCGTCTCCCTTTCCCTCCCTCTCACTGTGCATTATTTAAATAAACAAGCAGGGCGCGGCGGGGGAGATTGGCTGCTGCTTATACGCCCGCGTCGTCTCTACCTTCTCTGTTTCTCTATAATAAATGCGCTTCTCGACTCTCCCTCCACTTTCTCATTTCCTCTCACTGCCACATCTAACTCTCTTTCTCCCCCTCGCCGTCGCTCTCGCACACTCGAGCGCGCTCTCGAAACGTTACAGTGACGAACAATTATCCCTTCCACGCGAAGGCGCGGCGTGAAAGCCGGTAGAAGTGACAGGCAAGGGGGTGCGGCAGCGGGAGGAGACCCCTGCACCTTGTAATGAATTTTAAATTGGCCCGCATTCATAATGTAGCCCCGTTGACAGTCGGGATGAACCGGAGATGACAAAGTAAAACGGCCGGGTTAATATTTCCGGGCGCGTGCGCCGCGAATTACCTTCCTACAACGACGACAACAATGAGGATGACGACGACGAT